GATAGTATCAGATTATCGGCCGATATTTAAAACCATATAGAGTATAAATGAGAAACTAACTAGAAGTGCACGTGGTGATGAATTAATTAACTCGATCGTTATGAATTTTTGGAAAATTAAAGACAATATGAAAAAAAGAGGAAGAGAGAATGAACACAATTTAGAGAAAAATGGATCAAATTGTACACATGACTCTCTTGACTCTTGTAATCAACACGCATGATACATATAAATATCATGTATATGATATCAAATTAGATTTTCAACTACTAGTTGCATTGATCATACAAAAGTTACGATTACACTATCTAGAGTTAAAGTTATATCCAAAATATTGTAGGCTATGTTGTATGAGCACGGACATAGACACGAGTGTGGATAGAGGACACAACAAATTTACAAAAGATAGGATAACGACTTTATATTTAATAATTTGATATTGTTTTTTCTTTCACATTTTATGAAAACTAAAATCCTTGCAATATTTTTATGTTTCTTTTATTTGAGTAGGTTATAAATTGAAAAATCGCTCGTTTTGGAACTAGATACGTGAACCATTGTTTTAAATATCCCCGACATGGCCCAATATATCCCCCGATATATCATTTGACAGGACTTGCCGCAACCGATATGGTCTCTAAATATCCTTTACCGCTTTTTGGCTATTTTGAGTGATAAATCCCCGATATGGCCAATATATTAGCCGATATGTGGACTAATATATCTTTTTATATAGCTTGTTGTAAAATAATATACCGTGTTTGGAATTTTTGGGCGAGATATTAAGATTTTCCCATTATATCAAATGATATTTTGCCCTAAAAAAAGCAGATCGAATGTTACAACATTGCTTTGTACTTTTGTTTGTTTTAGAAGGTTGATCAGTGATCCTAAACATATATTATTCATATTTTGTATGCTTAAATTTCATTACATATGTTGAGATTATATTTTAATGCATTATACTATGTATGAAAATATTCATTATGGCATTTCGATATTTACTACATATTCCCGATATTTCCCCGATATTTGCAATCCGATATGAATTTTGGCCATCCGATATTTCCCCGATATCCAATATTTAAAACATTAACGTGAACAACCCTTTAAAATAGTACTTATGAACTGGTTATGGGCTAAATCGAACTTGACCCGAGTATAATGAGTTTAGGAATTTGAGGTGAAAGATATATGTTTAAGAAGTGTATGACAACTGTTTTAAACTAAAATATATATTATATAATTGAGTACACATCTGAATAAATGTGTATACATTCAAGAAGTGTCCAAGGAATGTTGGACATGGATATAGGAGCTTATTAGAAGTTTCCGGATAACCTAGATCGCAGGTATTCGAAAATGCTACAAGTATTCCTCTTACAAGTGTACCCCCAAAAATATTATAAGCACATTCTATTTTAATTTGGACAAAGATGCATAGAACTTGTTCCTTGACTATCATCATTTCCACACTCTTCAACCACAACAACTTCAAGCTTCGGCACATCGAGAGAAAGGTTCACAATGTCTAATATGTCGACACCATTGAAAGAATAAAATTTATCTCCACCTAGATCCTACATTCTTGTCTCTCCTTGAGAATATTTTCCGGATCTTCTTTAGAGAAGGCGTAGATTTGTAAAAAAATACATCAAATCTTTCGCTCATAGATTCATCCTATTTCTCTTTATGGATTGAATGAACTTATAAGTAATCCACTCTCTCATACAACAAGATGAGGAATATGGATGCCCAATCAATTTCAATGTCAATTTTTGTAGTATAGGTGAAGTCTCATGGACAATGCACTATGATTTGACATCCTACCTCTTATCATATAAGGACTTAGGATCTGAAAGCACATCCATGTGGTAGAGAAATTTGCAAATTCCATATTCACTATTCATCCTTCCTCAAAATTAGGAAAGTACATCTTCAAACACTTAGACCTTTCATTGAGATTTCTAGATCCTTGTTTAGTCCAATTCGATTTGGTGCTTTGGTGAGCCATTGTGCACTATAACATCTAGAAGATATAAAAATATATATTAATTGAATGAACCAAACAATGAACCTTAAAATTTAGTAAAAAGAAAAGAACTTTGAATTGAGGGAATGAGCCAAACAAGTTAGTGGCTTGTTGCTCTTAGTCCATTGATCTACTAAAATAATATGCGCGCATTGTAAAATGAAGATTATTCATCATTTCTCTTGCCTTCTTTTCTATAAACGAAGGTCTTCACATTTTAAATCATAGAATCCCACGTCATTAATTAAGTGAAGCTTTGACTTGTCAGTAGGCTCAGTAAAGAAAATGATGTGTTCTATCTTATCTCATTATATATCATCCAAAATTATTTGCTTGACAAATTATGCTTTCCTTAACACAATCATGTTGGTATAACTTTCAGCATTCACTAATCACCAAGTCAAGAAGACTGTGTTTTATTTCACTGAATTGCCATACCATAATAACTGCTGAAGCAAAACGAGTTTCGACAGTAGTAAGCATTTTCAATCTCTCATGTTTAATGAACTCTGCTAATCTCATAAGAGTAATTCGTTATGTAATTTCTTATCACCATAACTTCTCCAGTAATATCGACAATCCAACCACATTCTTCATACACGACCTTATCTCTTTCGGTATTCTTTGCCAGACAAATATTTTTTAAAGATTCAATGTGCGAACTACACATAGAATCCAAAAATATGGGGATATCTGTTGTCACGCCTCGAAACTACAGCGAAAAATCATAAAATACGGGGTGCGTGACAGCAGCGACCAATGCTTAAGACAAATCTTATGCACGGGTCAAGCCTGTGTGACGCCCCTGGGTTCACACAAGGCTGCAGTCCAAGGTGAAACCAAGAATGTCAAACCTGCCATACACCACACCGTGTAATAACATGTTTCACCATCACAATTAACATCTGTCTAGTAGAGTCAACAACTGGTGTGGGTACAAAACAGGCAAAAGATAATACAAGATATACTGATGGAATGATAATAATCACATAAATATCTCATCATCCCACATACAACAAGGCTCGTTGTATAAGAAAATACAGTTATTATATAAGAGATCTAAAATCATTGATCTTACTATAGAGGGTTTTAGTATTTAGAAATTTACAACACGAGCATAGGTACGTCGAGCGAAATAATCCAAACAAGGAAACCCTCATGTATATACCTTATATCTCAAATTTGTAAATCCCTAAATACCAAACCCAAAGTTTAATACAGAAACAATAATAAAGAGAAAATAATCCGTCTCAGAACATAAACTACTGTGTCCTGTCATAACCAAATAAGTGACATACTCATAGCTTAATAACTGGTCAACAAATGGTTTAAGCGGTAAATATCCAATGCGAGGGCAAAAATGGATTATAGTCCAACACGAGGACTGAGGTGGATTATAGTCCAACACGAGGACTTTAAGGGATTATAGTCCAACACGAGGACTGAGACAATGTAGTTTTGCCTGATACTTGGACCAATTAGTGAATATCGATAAGATATGAGAAAAGAATACATATAGGCAAATCACACACGTCCCTCAGTGCGTGATTCTAAACTTAGTACTCTCAAGTCATCTATCATACACAGATGTATGGCAAAAACTAAAATTTAGTATTTATAATCGAGGCAAAACCCCCGAACACTTGAAAAACATACAGCAAAACAATTAGTGCAGGAAACTGGGCGGCGGTCGACCGACCCGGTCGACCGCATACGGACACAAGCCTCACTGTTCAGCAGAGATATACTCGGTCGACCGGGTCGGTCGACCGCCAAGACATCGCGGTCGACCGCCGCGGTCGACCGCGCAGAGGTCAGGTGCATTCTGACCTTCTGCGCGCCCAGCGGTCGACCGATGCGGTCGACCGCGAGACTGACAGAACCCAGATCTGGGTTTTCTGTCCGCTGAAAACTAAAACGACGATTTTTAAACAAAAACTCAACTTATGGAAGTGTCATGAAGCAGTAAATCGCGAATTTAAACCTTTTAAACTTGTCACAAAGATCCCATATATATATATAAACATGATTTACCCATCGTTAGCAATAAAAACAAGGTTTTTACTCCTTTTTAGATATTTTCAGATCTAGATCTTTAAACAGAAAATCATAGGTGAGTTTTTTAAAAATAAATAATACCCCAAATTCATACTTTATGCCACAAAGATCTATTAGCTATCCAAAATACGAATTTGGCTCAATGAAACCCAATAAAACTCAATTCTTGACATGAAAACAAAAGGGGGTGGGGGTTGGGTGAGAAGTTACTCGCCTTGGGTGTTGACGAAAGCCCTAGATCTGCAGGAGGTTGATTCTCTACACTGCCAATCCAAAATCCCGCTGAAAAATTCTCCAGATCTCCTCCTAAGCACCAAATCCAGCTAGGGTTTGAGATTTAAGAGATGGGGGCTAGGGTTTTGAGCCTGAGGTGAAGAGAGGCTCTCCTTGGTTGAGTTGGTATAAATACTAACTCCCTAACCCGACCCGAAACCCAAAAGATCCGAAACAAAACCGTAAAGAAAACAAAACCTGGAAGCTCTCTGACCGCTGTGCGGTCGACCGCGTCGGTCGACCGCCACGATCGACCGCGTCGGTCGACCGCGCAGCACAAAAATGCCTGCTGCTGGGCATTTCACACGCTGGCCATAACACTTGATTTCTCTCACTTAAAATCACTTGTTGGGTTCTCAAACACAGATAATTACATTCATATGACATATATATGTGTATATATATGATTATTCATCACAAGGAAAATATTTACTATTAATAATTCACATATATTTATTGTAGAAATTTTCGGGGTTTTACAGCCTGGCACTTCATATCACATAGTTTATTTTCAAATAAAATTCACAAACCTGTTGATGATAGAAGTCAGAGCAACTATATATATAATCGGTACTTACAGCCCACAAGCTCACCGTTATAAACACTTTTACAAAACAAAACAAAATGTGCTGAAGGTAACATCAACAAGAAGAGGCTCTTCATATAACGCCTCTTAGCCAAAAGCTCAAACCAAAAGTTCGGCTACTATGAAGCTACGTCGGATCTGAAAAAAATTTAAAAACAACGGAATGAGCTAGCGCTCAGTGAGAACATTTCCCACTAGAGTTCCTAGATAACTAACAAAATAGTAATAAGAATAGTTCTCAGAAATTAACAAATTTCAAGTTTTGCATGAGAAATTCACAGATAGCAGAATACGATCCAAATATCATAATATTATTGTTTTTAAGAAAGAATGCAACAATTATATTTCTTTCTTATATGCAACTGAATAAACTGTGAAATTTCTTGGAATCAAACCCTTTTTGAATCAAGGTAAACATTAAGAAGGAAAAGAACTACTAATTTATACAAAATCAGGGAATTGTTGTTTTCTCAATTTCACAAACAATTATCATAATCTTATTTCTCGATGAGTTATTCATGAATGTAAAAGTCACCCCATAGGTTACACTAAGGCTACGAATTTTAGCCCAGTAGCAAGGGAATGCGTAAACCGCATCAGATAACAGATAATTCCCGGGAATCGAATGCACCTAACACTGCCATAGGTTACTGACCAAATACAGAAGGGCCAGAACAAATTTCAGAAAGGCCAAATACAGAAGGGCCAAGGCCAATACAGAAGGGCCAAATAAAGGTGCATTCATCATATGACAGGCAGAAAAAATCCATAGTGGAATATTTGAGAGTTTGAAAACATCGAGATCACATGTCAAATGGGTAATACTTTGCATATCAGAATTTGCATATATTTTCAAATGAAATTGACAAGGTAAAGCTCCTCATTTCTGTTAAAACAGTTTACGGATATCTAGTTTTTCTTTTATCCGATACTAAGTCACGAAAAATCTTTGAATCCGTTAAACTGTTGAAACACGTTCCAAATACTTCATCAAAAACTTTCAGATAAAACAAAGTCCACAATTCTTTGAAAATTTCATGAGAGCCAAATTTAATTTTCATATTTTACCTAGAGATCAAATTAGCTTTTCATATATTGTACGAGGCTAATATCGTATTATAGGATAGACCACAACAGAAATAGGTCAAATCTTTATATACATGAAAAGACATATTATTTATTCATATTTTTTTTATCACAAGATAAATCAAATATAAAACTCATGCAATTTCATATTATAAAATACTAGTGAGAAATGAACTCACCTCTAGTGGTCACGACTTTCTCAAAATATTAGTCTCCCGAATATCAACCAGAACCTATAATGTAAGATATATGACTAATTATTAATTCAGAACAAACATATATTATAGGTAAATCAATTCATAATCTAGAGTCTAATAAACTCAAATATAATCAATAATGATTAAATTTTACAGTACATATGAGCTTATTGTTACTTTTTAGCAATTTAGCAAAATTTTATAACTCTCATATACTAGCTTTTAGATTTTCTAGTAATTTATGATAATGCAAGGCGTTATAGGGAATTTTATCAAGTCTAAAAGTTAGTGTTTATTCCTCAGGTTGGACTTGTTTGCAACTGAACAAAAGACAGGGGCCTAATAGATATTTTCCAGCCATTTCGCCAAAGCCCCAAGACTACGGCAAGGGATCGCCGGCGAACAAAAGTGGCCGGCGGTCAGACCCCCGACGAAACTAGGGTTAGTATTTCTCTCTCTTATTTACTAAAGCAGTTAATCAAATATCAATTTATCAGTTTATTACTATTCTATAACAGATTTACTTCTTCTAAATCAAGAAATTTTAGATCAACATGAGGATTGACTTATACCTTACTGATTTTGAACTTGGGGATGTTGATCACGTTCCTTCCTCTTCTTCTTCTTCTATCTTTTTTTTTTCGTGGGTTTTATTTGATTTTGTTTTCCTGTGATTTTCTCTGTTTTTCTCTGTTTTTATTCTCCCGTTAAAGAGGTGCCGACCATATTGTCGAATGAACTGATTTTCTCTGTTTTTCTCTGTTTTTATTCTCCCGTTAAAGAGGTGCCGACCATATTGTCGAATGAACTTTAGCCACAAAATTTTAACGTGGCAGATAGATGAAAGTTAGGGTGAAATCCCAAAAACACCCTTAATTAATTCTCTAATCTGTAATTAAAAAAAAATTCTCCATTAATCAAGTTTTTAAGGCACTAATATTTGGGTTATTACATCTGCTCTCCGTGATGTCCCAGGATCTTGCAAACCAATGTATTGCACTACATTTTGAGGACCCACCTCTTCAATAGCTTTTAGAAAAATCTCTGCAATATATCAATATTCTTAGTATGACTCTCTGCATTAATGATATTTAATAACACCGGCCCATTTTTGGCCACAACTATCACGTTAATAGGTTTTCTTTGTAAGTTAGACCAACCAACAATTGCAATGGAGACACCCTTCTATATACATGTGTTTGTTAAATGTTGTGCTTTATTTTTTGCAAAAGGCTTGTTCTTAAAAGATATATAACCTTCAATTGCATTGTTTGCAGCATACTTATCAAATTGGATGATATATGGATTTATTGTTAAATTAAACGATAATCCCCCTATGTAAAACATATGTGCAATCAGACTATGAAGATGATTCTCGAGCTTCACGATTAAAAGATTGTTTTATTCTTCGTCCACCCTCACTTCTTCTTCTTCTTCTTTTTTTTTTTTTTGCAACTTTGGTTGTTGTGATTGTCAAGGTAGGTAATGAAACACTCTTCTTTTCTTTGACTTCAATATAAGCTCTGCTTGATTGACTACTCTCTTTTCTCAATGACATTTTCATTTCTCACACTTTTACAAATTTTAATCTCAAACCTGTGTCTTTAATAGATAAAACTTTTATTCTTAAATGAGAACTCTTAAAAATTTTACGACAATCATTACATTGCCATTCCCTATTTCCCCAATCTCTTGATAATTTATCAAGATTTGTAACATATCTCCAAATAAGAGCGTGATCATCTTCTTGTTCACTTTCTAAATCCACAGACATCAAACGGCCTATGATCAACTGAAAAAATAACAAAATTACATTGGCAGGTATTACGCATAAATATAACATATTTGGTGAAATAAAGTATTAAAAAATAGTTGAAAGAATTTTCCATAGCGCATAAATCCTATTGTATATGAAAAATATAACATTAGTTTAAATAAATGGAGTCAATAAAGATAATGTTATTTGTCATTAAAATGAAACTGGTTCAAGCAAACAGTAAAGCTAAAAAACCAAGAACATTGATAAAAATACAATATGAAACTGAAATCTTGGCAATAACAAAACTTAAATGACAACGTGTAACCTCAGAGGAGAAAACACAACCGAAAAACTCAATTAAACATTAAATTAGAAAACTCTAAGAAACACATAAATCTTCAATGAATAACTTAGCTCTTTACAATTTTCTTGAATCCTTTCTCTAGCACTGAGTGACAATGGAATTGATAGTGAGAGGTTGCAGTGAGAGGCTGCGGTGGGAACAAGGGCTTTGCAAGATGCGACGTTTTGAGAGAGGAGAGGTTCAGATTTCTGAATAAATCGCGAGAGAAGAGCGACGTTTTGAGAGAGATTGGGATATACCCAAACTTTAAAATGCTATTCATGGGTTTAACGGGTTCAAAACAAAACATTAGCTCTGAACCCGATAAGAAAAGATCCCATCTTCTGAATTTTTTATTCTGGGCAATCGTGATTGAAACCCACAGCTCCTGTCTCCAAGCCGTATCCGGAGAATACCCATACCCGAAATGGATCAGGTTTTGGTACGGAAGCCCAAAAAAAAGTACCCGGTATCACAGGTTCCAATTAAGATAACCTGTATTAGTTTTATTCTTGGCATACACATTTTGAGCATACTGCAACATTTGGATATACTCGTAATATTTTGGGGCATACTTGTTACATTTTGCATATAGTTGTATCTTGTACCTGTACCAGGCAACTTAGCTTATAGCAATTTCATTGATTTGAGGGACTAATTTTAAAATATTAAATTTATGGGACTAATATTAAAATACCCTAGTACTACTTGTAAAGGTCATCCAGAAGTATTTGTTTATTTTTCCATTTTGTAAACTCTGTGGACATGTATTATTTTTATATTATAAACTTATTTAATATATTATACCACCACCATATATTCCTTGGTTCAACCATGTGAAGCCTCATCCATAAGTTTCCCAACCTGTATGCCTGCTAGATGCATTTAAGGTGTTATACGACTGTTCGGTATTTACAAAATTGAACGGGAACTGCAGTTGTATTTAGCAATAAAAGTTTTTGTGACTGTCTGTATCACCAAACTATTATCTTTTTGCAATCATAGTTATAAAATGTCTTTTTTTTTCTTTTTTGTCAAAATCGACATGCAGTCCATTTGATTATTTCATTTTTGTAAAAAGCGTCCCTTTGCAAAAAAGTTAACAGACTTATAGTTATAGGGAAACAAACAACTGCAACTGTAGTTTCTGTTGCAATTTTTACATAAAAATGCATGCCCCAGATAGTGAAGTTATTGTATGCAGGCCCATGTATAGTATTGGGGGATTTGAAGATTGGGTAAGTTGGGAATCCTAATGAACATCCTCTTTGTAGGGATAGGGTGTCATTTCATAAGATCAATAATTCACGTGTTGGGAGGGTATTATTATCAAGTGTCTTCACTTTTTGATTTGTTATCTATTCGTCACTTTCCAGTTATGTGGATTATAGATGCACCATGCAGTATCAACCTTGTTTTCTTATCCAGAACTTTAAGCTTTATAAAGATTTCACACTTTATCAGTTCCACGAGCTCAATTACGTAGATAGAAAATATCTTCCTAACTGCTACCTATGTTTTCAGTTTCTCAAATCAGGTGCCTCTCATGTAGTATGTGGTTAAGCTTGCTGGTAACATTTCTGATACATGTGTTTGGTTAGGTTCTGAACGTAGAATTTTATCAAATCCTTATGACTGCATTTTGGTCTTTAGAGCAACCCCTTACGGATGAGTTTGGATTTACATAAATAATATTCAGTTCATTATATTCAAAAGCATCACCCAATTACTGCGTCATCTGGTTATCGGATAAAGGCAGGAAGAATGTTATTTATCTCCATGTGAGGATCTGATGACTGTCAGATTCAGTTCTTGCCATATCTTCAAAATCTTCCATGTAATGTTTCTGAAGCTCCAGTTAAACAATAAGAATATGCACAGAATATTTACTGGTATTTATGTAACAGGTTCTCAATGTGACTGCCATATGGATTTTATTGTATGCAGGCTGCATTATTCTTTTTATATCTTACCACACTTTTATACTAACAACCATTCATCTTGCTTTCAGGGGCGAGAGAACTGGCAAGAGATGCACGAGCTTCAGAACCAGATGACCTTATCAACTCTGTAATTGGAGGGGTTGCAAGTGGGGGACTTCTAGGGAAGCTTCAAGGTTTACTCTTCTCTATCTTTTTTCGTTTCGTCTCTTTTTTTAGCCTGCTGCTTCTGATTAACAATTTTTAGGAGGAAGATAGCATGTTATTAATGCTGATTTAAGGTTTGAAGAATTTTCAGCTGTCTGCAAGCCATTGGGGCTCCTTCAGTTCATTGCTAAGTTGAAATTAGGCTTTACTTGCTTAAGCTGCAGTTTGTATTATGTCGCGTGCCACTTCATGCTTGAGTTGTAGTCACTTTTATCAGAACTTACAACAGAAATCATCTTACAATGATGTAAAAACATGCTACGTAAATTATTCTCATGTGATACTAAGCAGGAGTGTATATTCACATAAAATGATGCTCTAATTAAGAGTTTATTTATTTAACTACCGAGAGTTGCAGGGCCTTGGTTCGAACAATCCCAAAATTTGTTGCTACTTATCTTGTGTAATTAACGATTAAGGTTGGCTTGTCTCAATTAGGCAAGTTTACCGTGGTCTTGGCTCTTTCTCTGTAAATTCTGCTTGATATGAACGAAATGGCCTCATAAGCCATCTTCAAGGCATAAATCCATTTTTAGAACTGATAGCTCTTGAAGTTTACATGTTTTACTTTCTTTTGAGAAAGTATGCAGCCGAGTATACATTTCTTATTCATTTTCATTGCAGGTGGTCAGCTCAGTGCTATACGCTATGCCGTCATCTTTGCTACTGTGGGGACAGCATTCGACTTTACCACACTGGAGCTGCGTCCTTATCTGCGCAACATACAAAACTCTGTGCAAGAGATGAGTTTGGATCCGAGCTCATGGAGTTTGCCAGAGTGGTCTCCGATCCAGATACTGGATGAAGAAGCTCTTGCTGCTAAACGTGCTCGAGAACAACAGTTGTATGAGCAGAGGAGATTTGGCACCATGAATAAAGAAAAATCTTGATTAGATAGACACATCAAACATCAAAAATCTTTTTGACAATATTTTATTGCTGAGATTGTTGGATGAACGTATTTGTATCTTTTGTTTCAATTGGTCATAAATAACTGCGAGACCAAAGAATATATCAAGCTGGTATAATGAGAAAAAAAATTGTGCAATCATTCCCTCATCCTGTTAATATCTTATCATTGCTGGTACTTTCTCCATGTATTGTTGCGTCAGCATAGACGATTTTACAATCATAAGAAGCCCACGCATAAACATTACAGGCATTGTGAGGATAGTTTCCTCTGCCATCCAGAGAAAATATCACATTTATGCCGTTAACCATTCAATGTGAAGCTCGGCAGCTCTAGATACAAATTGATGGCTGCCATCTATTTATCAAAAATATAGCGAAGCAACAAAAAGGTCTATATAGTTACATTCCCAACAGAGTGCAACTTATTGACAAGAAACAGCAGAAAATCTTGAGTGCAAAAATTGTAGATCCTCAAAGGATGCTGCCAACAACAGAAATTCATCAGGAGGCCCCACATTCCAGTACCTATTCCTCAATAACTTGCCACCAGAAAATCGATAGATTGATTCTATGAAATTAATGAAATCAATGAGACAAACTCTGATGTTATGCGCCCCTTGGACCTCGTGGTGATCACAAAATGCTCGGGGTATTTTCTCAGAAGATCTAACAGGCCGTACCAAGGCTTTCCTTTAGTTTCATTCTGAGGCCACTCTTCAGATGTCAGGTATTTTCTTACTCTGTTGTGATGCCATATGTTACCATACTGTTCAGCTAGCTGGAATAAATGAATAAAAAGATATCTTCATTAGATATTTCTCCTATTCACAATGCCAGAGAGGGACAAAAAACCTAGAGAAGTATCTCATACCAAACAGAGATCATGTAGCCCAAATATGCATACAGGTGAGTGCTAACAATAGTGATGTAAAAAACAAAATGAAACAATAAATTAGAATAGCCGATAAGGGATAGATTGGTTGTAGACAGATGCCATTGGAATTTAGAGGTATTTATGTGAAAGTTGGTCAGTGTTTAAAATCGAGGATAAATTTCAGATACACCTGTAGGGGCTTAACCAATTATTACCTGTAAACTTTTTCATTAGTACTTGCACCTGTTGATATCCGAACAGAGTGTACCTCTCCTTCACACCTTGCCAGATACTGTTCTTAGAGAGAGAGAGAGAGAGAGAGAGAGAGAGAGAGACAAGTTTGAAATGAAATGACTAAGGAGAGATTCCTTCTTGTGGGTATTTGTCATATCCTGGGCCCATGAGCCTGTTTGCGCAGTGTCTACCGTGAGGCCCAATAAGTGCAACACGTGGTTCAGCTTGATCGACTGCCAGAAAATACTAGCACTACTTGCAACATTGAGTCCTAGACTAACTATTTAAACCTATCCACTCTTTGCTAAGCAGGCAATGTGGGAATAAATCTTGGGGTGTTAGTGTTACAGTATTCCCCAACAGAGCCTGTTCTGTTCTGGGAATTGGCTATGGACAACGGGGTCGAGGGTTCAAATCCTTTCTCGCTCTCAACTGCCCTAAAAGAAGAGGAAGTTTCTTTTACCTCTGAGGGATTATTAAGAACCTACTTCTTTGTTGAATTTCGACTTTTGTTGTTCTAGCATTATAAATATTTGTCATGGTAATACCATATTTTCCTTGATTTGAGATAAATTACTTCGGATGCAACATCCATTTTTTTAGTGCTTTAAAACACAATGTAACTTACACTAGGATTTCATCTTCAACGCCTAACCCAGGTTGAAACCCAAGTATGATAAAAGATGATAGCATGACTTATGCATGATCTATCAATTATTAAGATTTAAGAAGCTCATATGGGAATAGTTGGTACGTCCTTTTATAAAATCAAATAATCATACAGTCATTCTTAGTGACTATTTATGGCATGTAGTTTTGAGGAAATCTTTACAGATAAAAATGCAACTTAATTGATTCGGCTTATAAATGGGTTAGTTTTGTTGTCGATGAGTTTGGAGGTGCTAGAATGGTCATCAGTGGAACGGGGCAACATTTGTAAGAAATATGCACTATATAAAGTTAGATATGGAATGTATGCTTCCTACGTCAAAATTGGTGGGGATTCATTACGAAAAAAGCACTGCCACTTCTTTCACTAATAAATCTTCTTCTATCTTTTAAGGGTGAACAAGGGGAAAAGAAATAGAAAATAAAAGAAATGAAAATAAGAAGAGTGGAGTGTCCATCGTTCAAAGGGACAGTGGCTCATGCATTTGGAGGGTTGCAACCATATAATTCATGCCTAGATGACATGTTGCATGCAAATGTGCTAACAATTCTTTTGACTAACCTCGGCATGAAGCTTTGCCATTGGCATCCACTCTCCTGGGCCACAAAGATCAGATAGCACAGTAGCTACGCACGAAATGACATCCTTTTCTTCTAACTTCAAGAGTTGTAAATTATCAGCTTCTCTGTCAGCCCTTGACCTTGCCACCGGCTTTTTTTCTGCACAGAAATGCAATGTAAATAACTATAAGAAATCTTCTTGCAAAGTTTTAGGTTAGAAAATGATTTTATGCATGGTATTGTAGCTTTAAGAATAAATGAAATTGTGCTTTCGAACTTTGGGGAAACTTGTAAACTAATAGTAAGGCATGGTAGTGGAGCAAGGAAATTCTGTGCAAGGTAACCTAGAGTTGATCTGTAAAATGACAGATAGTACATAAAAGGTCATGAGTATGGTTTTGAAGATTTCACTGACATTTCTTGCTTAAAGACGTTTCAAATCAGAAAATTCTAATGCAGGATTTACCTACAGTGGGAGTGATCATTCCTTGTTGAACACCTTGTCGTTGAATCATAAGCTTATTTGGTGGAGAATCAGCAGCGAGTCACTTGGAAATTTCACTTGATTTCATGCCCCGGGCACACGGGCCCGTTGGCGCGTGCAAGCCGTGGGACCCACCGAGTGTAATGTGCTATTTGGTTCAAACCACTGCCAAAATCGACTAGCCGATGTTACACTTGAGTCTTAATCTTTCACATATAAACCACTTAATATTTCGTTCCCAACACGATGTGGGACTAAACTTTTATAGAGTCGGTGGGATGTCACATTCACCCCACCTTACAAAGGCGACGTCCTCATCGCGGCATTACAATTAACACATCCTAGGCTTCCTCATCGCGGCATTACAATTAACACATCCTAGGCTACCAGGCGATGTGGACTCTAGAGGTAGCTCCTACGGGCTCTAGAGGTGGCTCCCACCACACGGTGTAGCACTTAGCCCCGCATAGCACTAAGCTCTACACTTCCGGCTGGCAACTGTTCTGATACCATTTGTAACACCCCGGGCCCGTGGGCCCGTTGGCGCGTGCAAGCCGTGGGACCCACCGAGTGTAACGTGCTATTTGGTTCAAACCACTGCCAAAATCGACTAGCCGATGTTACACTTGAGTCTTAAGCTTTCACATATAAACCACTTAATATTTCGTTCCCAACACGATGTGGGACTAAACTTTTGTAGAATCGGTGGGATGTCACATTGGGACCTAGGTTCAACCTAAAAATATGATTTGTACTTCATTCAGATGTCAGGATGCAATGATTCTTCTAGCTTTTTATATGATGATCATATCGTATGTGGTTTTCATTGTTAAAACATTATCAAGGAGAGGGTTGATGTTCACCAAATATGTAACATTGATTTGTGGCAGAAGCAATAGTCTAATAGTTGTCCAGTCATCTCACTTGCTCCATTGGATCTTTATACCTGGCTGGAAGTTCTTCATGAACATATATCGTTTTTTTTGCTAGCAACATAAGTTTCTAAAGTTTGGGATTAATGGAGCACACAAGCACTACCCACAATAAGAGTGCATGCAACAAAACAACGAAAAGAGTTTTTCTACGTGGTTCAGCCAAACTTGCCTACATCCAGGGTCTCTCATCCACTATCTTCACAAACCAATACAACCAATACAATCGATACAAGTTTTACACGGACAAACTTAAAAACCCCCGCATATCTCACATCCCTCAATGAACCCAAGAACACCGATCACTCAAGAACTCCAAGAGACCTACCATCAAAGTACATCACACAAAAAACCTGAGAACACCAATCACTCGAGTTCTGAGAGGATCCTCCCTCTCAACATGAGGATGACTTTCTCAACACTAACACACACCCTTTTAGAGCCTATAGATAGAAGGCTAGAAAGCTTCCTTATAAATATCAATAGCTTTTACCAATGCATCATTCCATTTTCCCATGCATCACCTTCAAACTTTCCCCTTTGCATTTTTCAATATTGACTAATCTTTCAAACTTCTCTATTCAACACATGCTTTCTTCCTCATTTATGAGATTTCGGGAGAACCCCACCATCTAAAATGTCTTTTTGGGCTCAAAAGATATCAAAAGATATGTTTCTTCAGTGATTATTGACCAGGTCCTATATTCATTTTTCTTGTAATGTTGAAGAATAAATACCCTCAACCACATTTTCCTCCGATATAAAATGCAGATTCATGCATTCTCTCCTTCATAACACTACTTTTGAACAATATATGTTGCATATGCACACAATACATGGAAGCTGAAAGTAGGAAGACATTATGAAAAATCCTCCAAAACAATAAAAAAAATAAAAATATAAAATATAAAATAAAACAAATCTAAGGTACTGGTAAATCATGACGCGGTCTTAAAGTCATGTAGGTTTATTAAAAAATACGAAGCAAATTCACATAGCTTCAGTGCAAATGCCTCTAAACTTGTCGAGGTTGAACAAATGTTGAACACATAGGACACATCCACAAGTGATCATTCAATATAGTCGTAACGAAGAGGTATTTTGAAACTGCTAAATAAATGAATCAATCTCCCAGCCGCCGCCCCCCCCCCCCCATAATTTACCAAAATACCGACTTATATCGCATTTTCTAGCTCTAAATACTTGTAATTTATATTTCTTTCCTACGGATTTTAGGTTTACATTGCCTTGCTGAGCTCACATATATTTCAAGTTAATCACTTCATCTCTTGCACAATGAGGTGCATCTTTGTATCAGGTGTCCACAATGCTATGATACCCATGATTACCAATCTAAAGCTACAAGGCAAGACTATTTACGTAAACCCTTGTTGGTTGGCCCCCTTTCACCCTTTTACACTATCCACCATTTCAACACCAGTCAAACACCCCTTATACTCACTCAAATATTTTTGTGACACTAAATTTCTAAGACACCACCAAATCTACATTAAGACCAAGACATGGAAAAAGAACAAAACCTACATAATTAGAAAAACTTAAGATCAAATTTCACAAATCTAAACCTATCTAGAACCCCGATACCGAGAAATAAAAACTAACAAATAAAAAATTAAAACTCACCCAATTTCTTGGGAGGCAATGCCACCTTCCCTCCCTTCCCATACCTCCTAATCCCCACGTCCTCCTCTTCCTCCTCCTCTTCTTCCTCCACCTCCTCCTCATCCCCATCCTCCTCCTCCTCCTCCTCCTCCTCCTCATCATCATCATCATCATCAACATCCATCCTATTCCGATTACTCACCGGGGGCGGCAACCCCCTTGCAGGCCCACCCGCCGTGAAAATCGACCTGGTGGGAAGCAAGAAGTAGAACCTCTTATCCCCAATCTGCAACAGATCCTGAGAATCAAGCTTCACCGGTGGATTTCCAGGCACGTGCAGGACCCCCTCCACAAAGCACCCGTTTTTACCAAGAACCTCGAGGGCGAACCTCCGACGGCCGAAATCGTAGAAGATCCTTGCGTGGCGGCG